CTTGATTAGTTTTCACCCGGTGCTTCTTGTTCTTCCTTCTGGTGCTTTGGAGAATAGCTTGACTCCCTCTTCTTTGCGGTAGTCCCTGAGATATTGGAACACTGCTATCATGTCTCCCCTAGTCCTTCTTTTCATCAAACTAGACATACCCAATTACAGCAACCGTTCTTTATATGTTTATATGAAGCCCAGCAACTACCTTAAATGGACCTCTAACTTGCAATACAAGGAATACAATCTACTTCGCTAATGACATTAATACCTATAAAAAAGAATATTTGTAGTTCAGGGATGAACTGCGGGGTCCTTGGTTCTCTCTGACGTTGGTTGTTTTCTTGTAGATGTTTCACTACCCAACTAGGTAATATCATCAGTGTTACACAGAATGACTTGAGTTTGCTCCAGATCAGGTTCCAATGTATTCAGTTTGTTTACTTTCATGTCAATGAGCAAAGAAGTATTTCTCAATCCAAATGTTTGCATCTCCACCCTTGAATTGAAGTCCACAGGTCTTAAGAGTCGTCAAGAAATACTGCTCTAATGTTTCTTTGATGAAAGAATAGGATGTGGGTTTTCCTCCCTATTGGCTATTTTTCAGCTGAAAGGGCAAACTTCTCAGAATTGTGACTTGTTGTTTTAGGTATTGTAAAACACAAGTGCTCATAATGGATTCCCATGCTGAAGATAACTAGATAAAGCAAGAGAGGAAAACAACTGTAATTGAACTATATTTCCCAACCGTCCCAGCCAAAACACTGGGAGTCCCAGAGACACATATACTGTAGTTTCTCAGCTAAAGCCGAATTCAGAAAACTTGTATTATGACAGGTAGTCCTCAATTTGCAACCACAATTGAGCCTAAAATTCCTATTGCTAAGCAAGACAGTTGCTAATGAGCTTTCTTGCCAGTGTTAAGTGAATCGCTCCGATTGTTAAGTTAGTAATATGGTTGTTGAGGGAATCCGGCTTACTAGCAATTTATTTTGCTAGTAGGAAGGTCACAAAAAGTGATCACATGACCTCAGGACACTGCAAACATCATAATTATGAACCAATTGCAAGGTGTTTGAATTTTGATTGCATGGCCATGAGGATGTTGCAATGGGTTGTTAAGTGTGAAAAATAGTCATAAATCGCGCTTTTCAGTGCCTGTGTAACTTTGAACGGTTACCACACAAATGGTTGTAAGTCAAGGACTATCTCAGGGGTGTCAAACTCGATTTCATTGAAGGCCACATCAGCAGGGGTGGGATTCTACCAGTTCGCACCTATTCGCTAGAATGGGTTAACATTCTAAGCAGTTTGGAGAACTGGTTGTTAGAAGAAATTACTGGCCTAATCCTGTAAGGAAGGCAGGAAAGAAACATTCTGGTGTTACTTACAGAAACTGCCTTTCCGTTAACCCTTATTACATTCTTGACAGGACTCTGGAGTTTTTCCCCCCTCCTTTGCTAGTACTTTGCTTGTGTGGAGTGACCATTCAAAGTTACAATGGCACTGAAAAAAATGACTTATGACCATTTTTCACACTTACGACTGTTGCAGCATCCCCACAGTCATGAGAGGCCAGGCGAGGAGATGCGTGCCTCAATGTGAGTGATATTGAGTTGGCCACACCCAGTCAATAACATGACCACCAAGCCATGTCCACCCAGTCACATGACCACCAAGCCACGCCCACCACCTAAGCCATGCCAACAGAACCGGTTGTTAAAAATTTGAATCTTACCCCTGCACATCAGGGCTGTGTTTGACCTGGAGGGGCTGGGTGGGGAGTGGCCAGGGTGGCCATAGCCAGCTTGACGTCACTCTTGTGGTGGCCCAAGTGCTCTACCAGTGGAAACAGGCTCCCGAGCTCCAGAACTCAGGAGCCCGTTTTCACTGGCAGAAGCACCGTGGGCCGGTCCTTTGCGGTTTCCAAGGTGGCCCTGCAGGCCAGATCTAAGTACCCTGCAGGCCGGATCTGGCCCCTGGGCCTTGAGTTTGACACCCCTGGACTACCTGGTATATATGTATGTTAACCAATGGCTTGTTTGATCGTGATTTATAACAATGAGCAGGGATCACATAGTCTACTGGATACCTTGGTTTATAAACCCACAACAGCTGGGGGTCATTGAACATGCTAAGCCAAGGTGCAATTTACTCACTTATGTCTTTAGCATTGTTATGTTAATCTAGCCAGTTACTAAGAATCTGGCACGAAGCATGGCATCACATATATTTGACTTCGTTGTGTCTCTCTCAGTCCTGCTGGCTTCACAGGGTGATTGTTGTGGGGAAAAGAGGAAGAGAGGAAGGCGTTTGCTACTTTGTGCTATTTGTAAAATAACAAAGGCGGGATACAAATAAATACATTAAAAAATAACATTGTCTTTCTGTTATTTGCACAAGGATGTTACAATGTAACATGAGGTCACCTGGACAAGTATGGCTTTATGTTTCTTCTGACACTGAATTACAAATGTTAGGAGCCTTAACCAGCTCGGCCAATTCAGCAACATTGGAAAACTAAATTAATGCACTTTATTCAGAAATATGTCTTGCTGCACTGAACAGCCATATATGCCTGACACACTAAGCATTTGCATGTTAGCCATGCTTGATGTGAATCCAGTCCATGTAATTCAGTGTATCATACATAGCCAGAAAAGTTCTGTTTAGTAAACGTGGGTTAACCATGGATATGTTGTGTGAACACAGGGAAATGGATGTTGGGGAGGGGGCACTTTGCATTCAAGTTCAGCCATACTGCCTAAGGCTGTAGATCAGGGGTGTCCAACCTTGGCAACTTTAAGACTTGTGGACTTCAACTCCACAAGTCTTAAAGTTGCCAAGGTTGGACACCCCTGCTGTAGATACAGATACAGATTAACAGTGTTGGAAGGGACCTTGTAGGTCATCTAGTCCAACCCTCCTGCCCAAGCATTTTTGGCAGTCCACTCTCTTCTCAAAAGCTTCCAGTGATAAAGCTCCCAAAACATCCAGAGGCAAACTGCTCCACTGGTTGATTGTTCTCACTATCAGAACATTTCTCCTTATTTCCAGGTTGAATCTCTCCTTGTTCAGTTTCCATCCATTATTTCTTTTCTGACCTTCAGATGCTTTGGAAAATAGTTTGACCCCCTCCTCTCTGTGGCAGCCCCTCAAATATTGGAACACTGCAAAGCTTGCCTATACTAAAATGTATGATATATTGATGCCACACCGTTAATGTATTGTTGTGTAGGTGTAGATTGAAATTTAAAAAAAAAACTTGAAAGAAATATTGGAAGACTGCTATCATGTCTGCTCTGGTCCTTCTCTTCACTAGACTAGCCATGCTCAGTTCCTGCAACCACTCATTGTATGTTTTAGCCTCCAGTCTCCTAATCATCTTGATTGCTCTTCTCTGCACTCTTTCTAGAGTCTCAACATCTTTTTTATAGTATGGTGACCAAAATTGGATGCAGTACTGTAGGTATGGTCTTACTAAGGTTTTATAGAGTGGTATTAGTACCTCACTTAATCTTGTTTATATCATTCTGTTAATGCAGTTTTGGATTGCATTGGCTTTTTTGGCTGCCGCTGCACAGTCTTAGCTCATATTTAATTGTTGTCCATTAAGACTCCAAGATCCCTCTCACAATATTCTTGGTGACCATCTCTCCCGAGAGACTTTGCTAGGTACCTGTGCTCTAGTCTAAACGAAGCCTATAGCTTGTGTGCACATATGCATGCCTGACCGACAAAGCAGGTATTTTAGGAACTCATAGCCAAGAAAGCCTATGGAAAAAATCTGACTCCTACTATAAACGTAACTCTTCCTCTCCATCAGACCACCATAAGACTAAGTTAATTAAATGGGTTTTCCGGCACAGTTCCTGGTTTTTTCCTTCTGTAAGCCAGACAAGGAATAACTGTACGACAGACAAGGAATAATGGATGGAAACTGATCAAGGAGAGATTCAACCTGGAAATAAGGAGAAATTTTCTGACAGTGAGAACAATCAACCAATGGAACAGATTGCCCTCGGAAGTTGTGGGAGCGCCATCACTTGTGACTTTCAAGAAGAGATTGGACTGTCATTTGTCAGAAATGGTGTAGGGTGTCCTGCTTGGGTGTGGGGTTGGACTAGATGACCTACAAGGTCCCTTCCAACTCTGATTATCTGTTATCTGTTACCTTCTTGCAGAACTAAATACACTTGCTGCAAAGTGTAGTGAATGCCAGAGCCTGTAGTTCTTATATCCCTGGCTAGTTTTCCTTGGTTTTAACAGCTTAAGGCCAAAAGAAAACCATCTTCTACCCCACCCAACCCGGCAAGAATTTTAACGGTGGATTTGAAACGACTTGTCACCCGGCGAAGCTCATTTTTCAGATTTGAATTCGTAGTTTGGCAGAGGAAGAGAAAACGACCAAAAGGGAGCACTTAAAAAAAAATAGTTGAAAATAAGGCGTGGTCAATTTCTTATTCAAATAGAGGGAGTCGGAGTGCTATTGGGCACATTAGAAAGAGAAAGGGGGGGGCGGTATTTGAGGCTGATTCAAAGGTCTTGTTCTTATTTCGGAATTCATTACTGTTGACTTTCCTTCGCTCCATCTCCAGTTCAAACTCACAAGTCCAAGCAACTCCCCGGGACGAAGGTGAAAAAAGAAAGAAAGACTTAAGGCCATCTGAAATGCGACTCGGGCCAAGGCCGAGTTTACCCTGAAGGGGGACACACACACTCGGTGAAACCCGTCAGGCTTGCCATCCTATGCTGATTTGAGCCGCAAGGGTTTCAGCAGAAGTTCGTTATCCGCGCAAAGTGCCGTTTCCTCGGAGCCATCTCGGATGCTCTCCGCCTTTTGAATTCCAAATCCAGATTTGATTTGATTTTATTTTTTGCCCAGATCTTGCAACTCGGATTCTTGTTTCCGGCGCGATCTGGGTTGAGGATCGGGAGAGGATCGGGCTGCGTTTTGGGCAAGGATTTTTCTCAGCCGGCTCCACCAGACCAGACCAGACCAGGCAGCAAGATCAGCCGGCGCTGCCTTGCTTGCCTGCTTTTTCTTTCCTTCCTCCTTTTTCCTTGCCGCTCCACTTCCAACCCGGCTGATTTTTCCAGGCGTTTAAAGGGAAAGCGCACCGCGCTCCATCCCCCAGCCGAGAACCGAATTAGCGGCAAGCACACGGACCGCGATTCCGCCACCGCCGCCGCCCGGTTCTCCAACGCGCGCCCAGGCGCCGCCCCTTGAGCGGCTCTTTCTCCTCCCAGGAAGCCGCCGTGACGGCGAGGCTCTTCTCTCCGGAGCAAGTGGACGAGGTGACGCTCCGCGCCTTCTCCGAAAGCCGCCGGTGCTGAGCCTAACCAGCCCGGGGAAGAGAAGGAGAGAACCGGGCATGCCTCCACCGAGGCACTCGCGTCCCTGAGGGAAATCCGCCGCCGACGCAACTCGCGCCTCCTTTTCTGACACCGCGGAGCCGGGCAGGGGCGCACGAGATCTGGGCATCGCGCCTCAGGCGACTCAGGTCCCCCCCCCTTCTCCTTCTTCTGGGCGCCCGTTTGGAGAGGTCACTGTTGCGCTCGCCGGCTTTCCCCTTGGCCCTTTCCTGGGGAAGGTGGAAGGGAGAGTGAGGGGGGGTCTCCCCTCCGTCTGTCTCAGCGCATGAGAAGCGAAGCGCCCTGAGGACGCCTTCCCCCCCGCCCGTCCTTCCCCCCACCGGTACGAGAGACGGACAGCTTGGCGAGGCTGCCCGGCGGGCGACGGCGTCGGTAACCTTGGTCTTGCGCTCCTGCCATCTCCACGGGCGCGGAGGTAGCCCCCCTCAGAAACATGGCGAGTGATTCTCCGGCTCGGAGCTTGGACGAGATAGATCTGTCCGCCTTGAGGGTAAGCGGGGGCGAATCGGAGCGAGGGGGGTGGGGGAGTGGGAGATTAAAACCCACCCGAACAGCCCCCCCTTCTTTTCATTCTTTCTGCCCCTGCCCGTTTCCTTCCTCCCCCCCTCACCGTTTTATGATTTGAGCATTGCCTTAAGTTTGCAAAAAAAAAAAGGGTAGCTGGTTGCCAGGAAAGGGGTGGTGGGGGTTGGGGAAATAATCCAGATTAATCTAGATTAATGTAGTTTATTTCCCCCCTTTTGCGGGACGCGGAGGAATGTAGGCGCTCATTGATGATGTTTTGCTGAGGATGAAAGGGGAGAAAGATCTGCCTCTTGCTGTCTCTTTTTAATGGTGCATCTCTCAGCTGCAAGTGGAAAGAAGGAAGGGAAGAAAGAAAGAAAAGGGCTGGAAGGTTGATTGAGGGGAGAGCTGTTTTGGAGATCGCCGTTTGCACATTTGGAACGCTGTTAATTTCACACTTGCACATCAGAAGTGGTTTTTTTTCCGTCTCCTTCCCCCCTCCCCCCCTTTTTTGGCTGCCTTCCACTGTAGAATCAGCAATGCTGCTCCTATAGTTAGAGAGGAAAGCATGGGAATGTTTCTAGGCAGATTGTGTGTGTGTATTGGTTAGTGTGCATTTGATAGGTTGCCACATTTTCTCATCCTTAAAACGTTGCCCTGGCGTCCAAGCAGCCATCTCTTAGCTTGCCCCCATTTTTTGAACCCTTTACCTTTTTAGCATCCTTATAACTTGAAAGAAATGCATAGGTGGAAAGATCCGTTTTCTGCAAGGATTAATTGGGTGGTCTCTGCATGTGGCTGCTAAATGCTAAGAGAGGACATTGCCCGGCTACACTCTTGTCACTCAAGTCTTTGTAGACTTGGATGCAAAACTGAGTTTGCATCTGCTTGAGGGTCAGCCTGGCTGTAGTGTCCATTTTGACCAAAGGGGTGAAATGAAATTGCATGAACCTTGGCGTTGCTCCCCTTTGCACTTCTCCTGAAAGAAGGTGGGTGGGGAGATTTTCTGGCTATTGCAGCCACATGACACTCATGTTATTGTGGAGTGGAGATAATTGATTTAATCGTACATTTTCCCAGAGCATTCATTTATCATAGATTATTGGCTTCTGCAGAAGCCTTTGGAGTACTCAATGCAGGAATAGCTCCTCCTTGTAATTGGAATGGGGCCTTAAGAATTGCTACACTCTGGTTTGATCTCCTGCCATAGCATTCATTTCATTGCCTTAGTAGTGGATCCATTTGGGAAACTATTTTATTACTAGATTTCTAGGACCCCTGAAATAGAAGAGACACCTATTACCAAAATATGCTGCACCTCAACTTGTTTTTGGAATCAGTCGATGAGCATAACTCACAGTGGCTAGATTATGACTGGGTAAATCATGGCTGTGTTTACTTCCTTAACTATGATTTACTCAATCATTGAGTTCTCATGGCATACTAAACCCTCAGCCAACCACACACACATCAGCCCAAATGTGCTTGGTTGATTTGTAGCAAATCAAGCTAATGTGATTAGTTTATGGTTTCATCTGTTATGTGAACAGTTGAGTTAACCAGCTAGTAAATGTCCACATCAAATTCCTCAGATTTGCATAATTCAGTAATGAGATGCAGGATGTTGCAACTGTTCTGGTATTATGGAAGTTGAAATCCTTGTTGATCACCCGGGCTAGAAATCTACCTTTAGATCTCCATGAACTACTTTCCTACATTGACTGGCAGCAACTCAGTGTGCATAATACATTTTCTGGATTCACACCCAGTAATCAGTAAACCTAGGTTACTAATGCACAGTGTTACCCAACATGCTATGCCCAAACAATCCATATTATAGCTCATACAGTAGCATGTTGGCTGGGCTCTCACTAAATGCTAAACCAGAAACCGTCCAAGCTCATGTCACCTAGCTTGTATAGCTAACTTAAGTTCAGTATGTCATGTGAACCGATACATGTGGGTATGGGTATTAAATGTGTGGTTCAGTTAAGCATGGATAAGTGGGACACATTTTGCAATTTTAGGCAGGGCTGATGGATATAAGAAGTTGTAATTCAGTGTATCAAGCTTAAATTAACCATGAAGTTCATATGTATGAAATATTTCCTTAGCCATGATTTCAGAACAAACTACAATGGGTTTATTTAACAGGCCAGTTGGAACCAGGTTATAAACTATGGATTAGAAGTTGCAAAGGCTGGGTGTCCTTGCTCTGCTTAAGACAATATGTGGCTAAATTGAAAATCTGGCCCTAGTTACTCTAATCATATTCTAATCTTTTGGAATCGAGATTGAGTTTATTTTTTAAAAAAATCAAATGGATGTTCCCAGAGTTATTGATGTTGAAATGCATGCATCATTATTTTTTTTATCAAAGACCATTTGCACGTCAATGTTACAGAGATCTGTATGTCTGTTTGACACAATGTAATCCTTCAAGGTCAACTGCATACGAAACAGCTGAGACACACTGAACAATCTGATCTTGGTGCTGTAATGCTCTAAGGGTTGACACTGTATGGTACATCAGATTTACCTTTGTGTAAACAGAACTCTGAGAGAGAGAGAGAGAAAGAGATTTCTCCTCTTCTTAAAATATACACATCTGTCTGTTCTGGAATATTCTCAAGGATATGATGAATTGTTCAGTATTAATGTAGCTATGAAGCTGGTTTCTGGCCCTCAATATTTCTTTCCCTCAGTAGCATGTTTTGCTTGCAGAAAGAGTCATGCTAAATTGTTGCTGAAAAGAATCAGGCAGCAAAAGATATGAAAGGTAGCAATTTACAATCTCAGAGGACTGAGTAAACTAGATGGCTTATCTGCTGTGTAGCAGTTCCTGGTATCTGGGTTTGACCAAGACTTGAGGCCTTTTGCAGTTCTCCTGTATATTTCAAATGGAAATATCAGGAATTGAACTTGAGGCATTCATTTATTTGTTTCACCCCTTCAAATGGTTTCCAGCTGCCTTCTCCAAGATGGTGTCCAACAGAACGTTACCCGAGCAGCTGAAAAAATGGCGGAGAATTGCCATGCTAAAAGAAATATATACATTTATTTTTTTGTCTAGCTATATTCGATTTTTGAAGTGACTTCCTGGACAAATCCCTGCAGTTTTCTTGGCAAGGTTTTCCAGAAGTGGTTTGCCATTGACTCCTTCCTAGGACTGAGAGAAAATGACTCGCCCAATGATGGTGAATCTTGGTGGGCTTGGTGTGTCAAAAATTCAGAAAATGTCTAACTTAATTCTGCTGGCTTGTTGCACACACACACACACACACACACACCCCAATTTATGACATAGTCATAAATTAAATTGCTTTAATGTACTAATAAATAAAAACTTAAAGGTAAAGGTTCTCCTCGCACATATGTGCTAGTCATTTCCAGCTCTAGGGGACAGTGCTCATCTCCGTTATAAAGCTGAAGACCCAGTACTGTCCGAAGATGTCTCCATGGTCATGTGGCCAGAGCATGACTAAATGCCAAAGGCGTACGGAATGCTGTTACCTTCCCACCAAAGTAGTTCCTATTTTTTTTACTTGCATTTTTACATGCTTTCAAACTGCTAGCCTGGCAGAAGCTGGGACAAGTAACGGGAGCTCACTCCGTTACGTGGTGCTAGGGATTCAGACCTTTCTGATCGACAAGCTCAGCGTCTTAGCCACTGAGCCACCACATCCCTAATAAAAACTTACATAATTGTAAATATTTTTTTTTTTGAAATGCCTATTTGAGCCAACTCCAGGTTGCATGAGGTCAGGAAACTATGTGGAACCCTCTGGTATAGCTTTGCAGTGTCCAAAGAGAACAGAAAAGAACACCCTGTTCTTGCACAATTTTTGGAGGCTCCAGAGGCTACCCCATAACAGGATCCACTTGCATGACTTTCAGAGGGCCTGTAAGCCTGGTGTGTCACTAAAAATAGCATGGCATGTCACCTGTGAGACAATGTCATAGGCTGTCCATCAATGGACCAACACAAGGTTCAACTGGCTTTGGGCCTAAAGAAGGACTAGAACTCGCAGTTTCTCAGTTTCTAGTCTGATGTCTTAACACCACACCAAAACTAACTCTCATACATACAAACAAAAGAACCAAGATTCCTGGCTTTTGAATGACTTAAGCCTTTGGAAAGTGGCTTTTGTAAACCATACGTTGTGACATTGACCAAAAATCTTTGTCCTAAAATATGACTTGTTGCAAGAGTTCAACTTGGAGCTCCAGCATCTTCCTCCAAGTGAAAGCATTATGCTGGCCCAAACCACCAAAAAATTCTTACAGGACTATGTGCTGCAAATAGTATCTGATCGTGGATAGTATCTAATTACAATTTAGAATCATAACTAACCCATAAGTCCCTGCAGTTGTTAGGCAGGTCACTAGTGATCCTTCCTCAGTTTATAATCTTTTTTGCAGCTGTTGTTAAGTGCCATTTTAGCAAATGGGTGTTTTTTGCTGGAAACTAGGCAACTGGCAAAAACCACTGAAAATCAGGGTCACACGACTACAGAATACTATAAGCGTGAACCATTTGCCACAACACAGACAAGAGACTATGGACCTTTAAAAGGCTAAGTGAATTTGGTTGCTATAATTATACACACACCTTTACAGACACACATAAATACAAATGCCCTCTGCCTTTCTCCCCTTCCAGTAATTGTTAAGAGTTACTGCAAGGGCATGGTGAGGCAAACCTATAATTATGCAAAGACTTCCAATCAGAAATCAATAGTGATTTTGCTGCCTGAGCACAGAAGCATGGAGCCAGGAATGATTTCATAAGTCAGTCTGATTATTTTGAAATAATTTTGATTATTTCAAAGCCAGGATTGGACCACAATACACCTTAACAAATGTAGGAGAATAGTGAAGTGAAATTGACACACTTGAGGAAGAAAAATATAAATGCAGTTTCAAGCCAGGCTGATAAAATTACACTTGGATATTAAAACTGTGTGTGAAACACAGAGAGGAATG